AGCCCCCCACACCCACCTCCCCTCTGTCCCTGGCCTTCCCACCATGCCCACCGCAACCCACGGCCTCCTGCAGGGATGGAGGCTATCATGTCAGAGTTCTTCAATGACACCACCACCGCCTTCTACATCATCCTCATCGTGTGGCTGGCTGACCAGTATGATGCCATTTGCTGCCACACTAACACCAGCAAGAGACACTGGCTGCGGTGAGTGCCATGGGGGTCCAGGTGGGGTTGGGGTGGGGTATGGACTGGCGGCACCTCACTGTGCCCCCTGCAGGTTCTTCTACCTGTACCACTTCGCCTTCTATGCCTACCACTACCGCTTCAATGGGCAGTATAGCAGTCTGGCCCTAGTCACCTCCTGGCTCTTCATCCAGGTGAGGGGTCCTGCCTGCTCCCCAAGGTCCAGCCTGTGGGTGGTCTGGCCCTGTACTGGGCCTGATGCATGCCCACCCTGCCTCCAGCATTCCATGATCTACTTCTTCCACCACTATGAGCTGCCTGCCATCCTGCAGCAGATCCGCATCCAGGAGATGCTGCTACAGACACCGCCACTGGGCCCTGGCACCCCCACGGCGCTGCCAGATGACCTCAACAACAATGGGGGTGCCCCGGCCGCTGCTCCTGACCCTGCTAGCCAGCCCCCCACCCTGGACCCTGGCTCACTGGGGGCTGGTGGTGTCCCCAGTCCAGTGGCTGAAGCGCCCAGCTCTTTGGTGGCTGCAGCAGCCTCAGTGGCTGCAGCGGCCAGTAGTGATCTGGGCTGGATGGCAGAGACAGCTGCCATCATCACAGATGCCTCTTTCCTATCTGGCCTGAGCGCCTCTCTCCTGGAACGAAGGGCAGCCAGCCCCCTGAGCCCAGGTGGGGGTTTCCCTCAGGGCCTCCAAGTCCCCCAGGACAGTGTCCCCCCAAGCGACTCCCCAGCACCTGACACACACCTCCTGGCCACCGGGGTGAGTGGGCCCAGCCCTGAGTCCCCAGCCCCAGCAGATGAGCCCTTGGAGATCGGCTCCTAAGTCCTAGGCAACTGAGTGCCTCTGTCCTTGGCTGTCTAGGCCAGCTCGGTGTGACCTGACTGGGGTCCTTGGGGCTCAGGGAGGCTATCCCCAGTGTCCCTGGGTCTGCCCAGTTGGCTTTGTGTCAGGGTCCATCTGGTTTGCCCAGGGATGGGCTCCTCTCCCCAGGTGTGGGGCCTGCCCACAGCGTGTCCCTGCCACATTTGTGGTGGGCCCCCTCAGCCAGCGAATCAAGGCAGGTTGGGGCAGGAAAGGGGGTAGGGTCTCCGTGGAAGGTTCTGGAAAGGGTTGGTGTAATGTCTGGAGCAAGCTGTATCTAGGGACAGAGTCTAGCAAGTCTCTGAGCCAGGTGAACACTAGTGGGGGCCTCCCTCACTGTCCTGGCCACTCAGCTGGTGCTCCGTTGTGCGCAGTGCCTTTTCCACAGCCCCTGCCCCCGTATGTGTGTGCCAGGGCTGGGGTATTGGCACAGAAACACGGCGTGCGGGCGCCAACTCTCAAAGACAGCAACCAGGCGCTAGGGTCCAGCCTTGCTCCTGCCAGAGAGAGCCAGCGGCCCAACTAGGTCACTCGGTGAGGACTGCACAGCGCTCATTCCATTCTATTTAATTGCAGTGTACAAATTGTGTTTGTATATAGAATAAACTGTCTGTTGACAGCACCCAGCCAGTGTCTGCATGCTCCAGGTGCTGGGATTAACTCCTGCAGGGTCCACCCTCATGCAAAACCAAGTGGGCTGGGTGTGGTGGGGCATGGCCACCTCCCACAGACAAAGCAGGTGGAGACCTCACTAGGAGGCCCCCTGCTGCTCCCCTGTAGGCCTGGAGCAGGCACAGTAACAGTTCCACCTGGGAGCTGGGCCATGAGCTCCCCACGCCGCACCAGTGCCTGGTGGAGCCTTGTACACGCACCTGCGATGTGCTGTTCCAGTTCCTCCAGCTCACCTGGGCGTGGGGCGCCTGTGGGTAGTGCTGTGGGTAGCCGGCCATTGGAGCAGAGCCCAATGGGACCCTCGAGTGATCTGGCCCCTTCCATATCTGTCCACTACTGATGCAGCAGTGGCCAAGGTTGACTCCAGGAGACAGCACGCGTGACACTCCCTTACCATGGCCTGATGCACCTGTGTCCAGTCACCCTGGCCTGAGGGGGCAGTTGGTATGTCTTGCTGCTGCTTCTCCAGACCCCTGGGGACAGAGGATGGATGGGCTGGGAACAGGTGGCCCCTCTCTGGTCTCTGGGGTCAGGTTCCTTGAGGAGGCTGTGGGTGGTGGGAGGCATAGACTGACTAGTTTGGGTCTGGAGTGGGAGGTGTGAAATGGCAGGCCTGAAGGCAAGTATGAGAGCTGGTGGGGTGGGAGTGACCCTGGAGCCCCTTACCTTAGCTCAGGTTCCTTCTCCCTGTCCAGCGGCTCCGTGTTGAGGGCACTGTGGATTCTCTGTGAGCGAGACTGAGGCTGGGTTGGGTGAGGTTGGGAGGCTGACCATGCTTGCCCGCCCTGTGCCATCTCTTCACTTGGCTCGTGTGTAGCCAGTACTGCAGCCTGTGCCCTTCTGGATACATGGCAGCACTAGGAGGTAGAAAATGTGCTTCCCCAGAGAACTGAGTAAGGCACTACCCACGCCCACACAGAGCAGCACAGAGACCTGATAAGTGGTAGATACCCATCTGCGGGGTCTGCAGAGGGTGGAACACGGGCACAAGCCCTTCATGGTAATGGCAGACCCTTGGGGAGCCCTGGCCTGGGGGACACAGGTTGGGCCAGAGGTGGACCTGGGGCAGTGCAATTGGATTGGGAGGCTAGGGCTCCGTGTTCTGGAGGAAGGTTTCAAGGAGGAGAGGGCACTGGAGTTGGGGTTATGGGATGAAGAGTGTATGAAAGCAGACCGACACACATTTTGCTTATGAACAGGGGATTAGCCACCTCAGTCAAGGCCCACTCAGGCTCAGGGCCCCCACCTACCCCCACCCTATATCCCAGGCCCTGTCCCAGCTCTGTGACAGCGAATACCCGCTTCCCACAAGGTACCATCTTGTACCACTTGTCATGCAGCAGGTCAATGAAGCCAGAGGACTTGTAGTGGCTGATGAACTTAGGTTGGAGGTGAGCGGCGAATTCTGAGGGAGTCCAATGCCATAACCTGGTGAAGGCCAGGAATTGGGTTGGGACCAGGCTGGACACAGCCCAGGAGAGCTGTGCCCACCTTGAGCCCCCAGTGGCTCCCTGCTGCTCCAGGATCACTGGTCTCAGAGGCCCCTCACCCTCAATGGCAAAGGGCTTGCCCACAATCAGCAGTTTGCAGTCGGCATCGATGGAGACCTCAGTCCAGAAGCGACTTGTCCATGATGAAGGCATTGAGCTTGGGGGGGTCGCTCCTGCAGGGATGTGGAGGAGGTGAACACCTGCCCAGGTGCACCACCCCGCCACTCCCCTCTTTATGCCCTGGTCTCACGTAAGCATCACGACACCATGGGGTGTGGTGGGTGCACTGTGTCGCCTCATGTGCACGTACATCTCGAGGAAGCTCTTCTTGATGCAGGCGTCTGCGCTGCTCTCCCACACAGTGCCAAAGCGGAAGCCCTGGGACGGGTGGTGCAGCTGTGGGCAGGTGACCAGTCTGTACCACACCACCCCTGTGCCCTCACCTGGCTCCCCACCTAACTCTGCTCTGGCTCCCAACCCAGGCCCAAGGCTCTTAACCACTGTCTCCCCTCCTGGCTGACATGGGGCAAGTTCATTCTCTGTGGAGGGCTATCCCAGGCACTGTGAGTGTAGGGCAGCATCCCTGGCACCAGCCTCACAATGCCAGGAGCACCCCCAGTGTGATAACCACAGTGTCCCCTCTGGACAGAATTGCCCAGTTGAAAAGCACAAAGTATCCGAAGTCCATCACAGACTTGGCCCTGAACTCCAGACCTCTGCCTCCTCCTACCACCTCCATGGCTCCTTGTTCTCCCTCCTTTCATCTCACATCCTGTCCTGCAAATCCTGTGGGGTCCACTTTGCCTTACAAACACCCATAAACTTGCCCTGGCCAGTTTTCTCAGTGGTTAGAGCGTTGGCCCGTGGACTGAAGGGTCCCAGGTTCAATTCTGGCCAAGGGCATGTACCTCGGTTGCAGGCTCGATCCCTGGCCCTGGTCAGGGCTCCTGCAGGAGGCAGCCAATCAGTGTCTCTCTCACATCGATGTTTCTCTCTCCCTTCCACTTTCTCTCACACACACACACACACAAAAAGCAATGGAAAAAATATCCTCTGGTGAGGAATGACAACACCACAACCAGCCTACTGCCTACCCCTTTCATAGCCCCCATCCAGGCCCCACTGTGTCCCCCACCATCCCTCCTGGACCAGTGCAGTTTCCTCACCCTGCTCTCTATGCACTGCCCATGGTCTGTGCAAACTCCTCCTGAATGTGTGGCTGTTCCCCATGGGGCTATAGCACCACCAAAAGCCACACCAGCTGGATTGAGCCTCTAGAACAGTGCCACCTAGAACTTTCCAATGATGAAAACTCTATATCTGTGCTGTTCTCTGTGGCTGTTGAGCACTCACATTTAATTTCTAAAGTGGCTATACCTAGTGAGTGGCTAGTGCGTCAGACAGCACAGCATCTGGGTTTTTAAAAAATAAATCTTTGTTGATTTCAGAGAGAGGAAGGGAGAGAGAGAGAGAGAGAGAGAAACATCGATGATGAGTCATTGATCAGCTACCTCCTGCAAGCCCCTGACTGGGGATCGAGCCCTCAACCCCGGCATGTGCCCTGACTGGGAATCCAACTGCGATCTGGGTCCTAGTCCAATGCTCAACCGCTGAGCCATGCCCGGCTGGGCAGCATCTACGTTTGATTACTGATTTACAAAAGGGGTGTGTGTGGCAGAACAAGCAGAACACCCCTCAGGGGTCACAATAAGCCAGATTCAAACAGTGGGAGATGGTATGGGGCACCCCCCCAAAAAAACCCCAACAGTTTCTTCAACAAACACTAGAAAACAAAAGAGATGAGAAGGAACTCAGAGCTGAGAACCCAGAGGTTTCTAACATCTGCAATGTGTGAGTCAAACCAACTGAAACATTTAAAAAAGACAACTGGGAAAAGGGGTCCGATATTTGTTAAAGTTCCAAGTATTTATGGTGAAATGACACAAGGTCTGGGATTTGTGTGGCAATAACCCAGCAGCTAAGGTTAGTGATAGATGAAAGCGGCTGGCAGTTGATTTTGAGCCAGACAATGGGTTCATTCATGTTCTTTGCTCCCCACTCAAGGATATTAAAAAAATTTTTATTAAAAAGAAAAATAAGTAGCCCTGGCCGGTGTGGCTTGGTTGAGAGTCATCCTGTGCACCAAAATATCGCCAGTTCGATTCCCAGTCAGGGCACATGCCCAGGTTATGGGTTTGGTCCCTGGTTGGGGTGTGTGCAAGAGGCAACTGATCAATGTTTCTTTTTCACATTGATGTTTCTCTCTCTCCCTAAAATCAAAAGAAAAGAAAAATATGTGTAGACTGGGGCACAACCCTGCTTTCCCTACAGTCCTCCAGGGCTCCCAGAAGTTTAATCTCAGAGGGAACTGCTTTAGAGGCCCAGGGCCTCCTGCGCCCACAGGCCCTGTAGGACCTACATTCTGTATTACCTTCCTGACCTCACCTCCCTCCCTCTGCTCAAGCCTCTTGGATGTTCCTCAAACACCCCAAAAGTACCAGGCAAGGTCCTCCCCAGGGCCTTTGCGTGGGGGTTGTGCTCTCACTTTTCTGATGCCTACATAAAAGTCCCTCACCCCCTCCCAGAAGAATTCCTAACCCCATTTGAGAAAATGTCCCAACATTCCTGTGTCCCCACTCTGCCTTATTTTTGTCCCTGGCACTTTATCACTATCTCACATGCCATCTGTTTTGCTTATCTATCTTGATTCTCCACCAGGGATGGAGATCTTCACCTATTTTGTCCCAGCTGGGTCCCCAGTGCCTGGCACACCATAGTGCTCAATAAATAATTGCAAGAGTAGATGGCCACATGTGGTTGGGTCTTGGGACGGGTGGTGGTGAGTGGGCAAACTCCTAGCTCTGGCCCCCAGCCCCCACAGCCAGCCACCTTGGGGTCGTGAATCCCTGACAGCTCCTCGAAAGTCTTGTCCCCAACCATGACAGCAGCCAGGTTGGCCGTGTAGCTAGACAGCACGAGCAGGCAGAAGATGGCCCACAGGTTCATGAACAGACGCCCCGTGGGGCACTTGGGTGTTTTGCTGGACACTGTGCGTCCGAACAGGATGGCATAGCAGAGGTTGAGGGTCGAAGAATAGGAGAAAACGGTGCCGCGGTTCCGGCCACGGGGCGTGAGGCCATAGGGACTGCGCCACTCATAGAGTGTGAGGAAGAGCATGGTGAAGTGCAGGGTGGCAAAAACACCCAACCACGTGGACCAGTGCAGCGGCCACATAAAGGTGCCAAGGGGTGAGGCTGTGTCTCTCGCCTGCACCATGATGCCCAGGCTGGTGGAGAAGAAGGGGCTGCTGAAGTCCACCACCTTTGAGCAGGCTGAGTTGATGCTGAAGCTGGTGACTACCATGTGGGCCCTGCCAGCCAGCAGGTCTCCCACCAAGCCAGTCCAGCGGCCATCCTGCAGAGTGCCATACTGGTCATCGCCCACAATGTACAGCTCAAAGTCAAAGGGTATGTCCTCTGCCAGGCACTCCAGCAGGTCGATGCAGTAACCATAGCAACACTTGCGCAGGGCGTGGGGCACTGAGCCATTGGCCAAGGCAGGAAACAGCATATCCAGGGTGGCTGAGACATTGGTGCCAGGGGCCAGGCACAGCTGTCCTGCCGGGCACTGCCCATCCTTGTCTGGCTCTCTGGCAAACACAAATGGGTGCTCCACCAGGGTCACCACGGGCAGCTTGGGCTGGGCCTGGGTGCCCAGCGGGGGTGGGGGCTGCACAGCAGCACCCCCTGGCTCCAACTCCAGCCACCCATCCTGCCAGCTGCCCAGTCTGGCCCAAGCTGGAGTGCCCAGCGGGTCCTGGAGAAGGCTCCACACCCGGAAGTGCCTGGACATGTACACCTGGGAGGAGCTGGTCACCCATACTGGCCCTGTGCGGCCCTGGAAGGATGTGTTGCTCAGGAACCTAGCAGGAGGTGGGGGGCAAGGAGGCATCAGGCAGCGGGAGCACCTAGCAAAGCTCAGACCCTGCTCCCCACCTCTCAGCACATACTAGGAACCACAGTAGATGCTGTTGTGTCCCCCCACACCAGATCTCTTTACCAGTAGGGACCCAAAGTCAATGACTAGCTACCCAGTTTGAATGTCCCGGTAGGGCCCCCTGGCTCTGGAGCACTGTCCACCCTCCAGAGCTCCCCTGGGTTCAGGCAGAGATATATGCCTACTGACCTTTTCTGCTCCTTTCCCTCTCCTTTCCCACTTCTCCCAAAGTGCCAAGTAAACCCCTCACCAGAATCCCTTTCTCAGATAGGGACAAAGCTGCTCTCTCGTGAGGCCACAGTGCCTGGCATACAGCAAGTGCCCCGAAATGTTGCCCCAGGCAGAGGCAGCTCCATGTGGAGGCTGTACACCCTTCCCACAGCAGGGTCTCCACTCATTGTGCCAAGAAGCTGCCTGAGGACTTGGGCTTGACTGGCTTCTGGTCATTGCAGTTGATGGTGGCAGGGAGAAGGGCATGCTCTGGCTGCACATGGGCTGCACTGCCCAGTGCCTGTGCTATCAGCTCCACAGCATCGTGGATAGCAGCCTCCAGTGGGGGTCGAGCCACCTCTCCCAGCGCCAGCAGCCCAGGTGGCAGACCTTCAGTGGGCAGTGCCTCAGCAGGCAGTGGTGTGCCTAGCAGCCAGGGGGCCCAGAGGGCACAGTCTCCAGCACCTGACGGGCACGGGCCATGTCACAGCCAAGGAGCACAGCCACCGGTACCAGGGCTGAGCCCCCCTCCAGGGCCACCAGCAAGGAAAGGTGGGCCTGCAGCCCTGCATCACTGGTGTCTGGCTGGCTTATGTCTAGCACAAACTTTGGGGCCCTGCCAGCCTGGCTTGTCCAGAGGGCCATGAGGCCACCAGGGTCCTGCACCAGGCCATCTTCTTCCCAGGCATGGGCCTGTAGCACGGACACCAGCACCTCAAGCAGCGTCTCCAGGGGACTGGCCCAGTCCAGCTGTAGGTGGAACGGGTTCTGGGGAGGGGGTGGTCATAGTTAGGGCTGGCAACCACCATATCCTTCCCACCCCTATCTGTAGGTGTTCAATAAACAGAGGTCACTCACTTTGATAACTAGACCCCATGCCTGCCTCCTCCCAGCCTACCTCCGCTCTAAACTCTTCTGTGGTTCCCCACAGGCATCAACACAAAGCCCAGCCTTCCTGGCTTGACATTCAGGGCCTTCTGTTGTGTCTTCTGGCCACCTTGGTAGCATTCCACTTTGAGGATTTTTGCATGTGCCATTTCCAACCTGGAATACCTTTCTCCCTCTAAGCCAGTCAAATCCCACACATTCTTCCAAAGTCAGTCCCAGCCCGGGCAGCATGGCTCAGCAGTGGAGCATCGACCTATGATCTGAGAGATCTTGGTTCGATGCCCAGCAGGACGTGTGCAGAAGGAGGCTGATCAATGACTCTCATCATTGATGTTTCTAGCTCTCTCTCCCTTCCTCTCTCTGAAATCAGTAAAATATATTTTTTAAAAAACCCCAAAACTCAGCCCCATTGCCCCCTCCTCTATTTAGACATGCCCATCAACCATGCAGAACTCTGGCCCCCCCTCTGGACTCTCCCAGCCTCAAATCTCTCATTCACTACAGTTCTGACCTCACCCACCCCTCCTGGATGGGAACCCCTCAAGGGCCCAGGACTAAAGCTCCATGATCACAAACTGGTTGATGACTTCATGTTGGGAGCCAAGCCAGAGTGCTTCCTCTAAGACTCCTACACATCACTGCCCCTGAGCCAGGTAAACCAGGGGCTGAGAGGTCCCTTGTGTCAGTGGCATCCAGAAAGTTATCCTGGATTTGCTCAACCTGTGAAGGAGGGGAGAGCTTTCTCAGGCACCTAAGGTGGGCAGGATGTTGCCTGCATGGAGACAGGGTGCCCAGTGCTGGGGGACAGGCTGGACGCTGCTGCTCAGTCCCTACAAAAGCCGGACAGTTCCGAGTAGGGCCGCAGTTCTTAGAGACAGCAGCAGAGGGCGCCACGGAACTGGATTTGGGTCCTGCATCTCTCCCGTGAGAGGAAGCGGGGATATGGAAAACAGGCCTCAGCAGGGTCAGCTGGGTTGATGAGACTCAGGGCCTCACAGGGGTCAGGGTCTCTCTTCCCTGAGGAGAAAGAAGGTCTGGAGGGGGCTTTAAGGTGGCTTTGGAGGGAGGGAGGCTCCCACCAGACCCACATCCCAGTGTTGGGCCTCTCCCTGCTGGCACAAAAGGGTCCCCAGAGCCCTGCCTGTCACCCTTCTCTCCTCATCTCATTTTTTAAATTTTCATCCCAAATTCAGGGCCTGGGATGGGAATGGGGGTTGAATCTAGAAGAGAAAATAAACTCCAAAGAGGTGGAGAGGGTGAAAAGGAGGATAGAGGGAGGGCTTTAGGGTGAGAGTGGCCTGGGGACCCAAGAAGGGCACCCCACCCCCGGAGAGCAAACAGGGAGCCCCGTTTTCCCTTCCCAGATCTGAGGTCCTGGGGGGTGGGAACCAGGAGGCACCCTCGGACCTAGAAGGGGCCATTTGCAGCGAATGGGATGGGTCCTGGGGCTGAAAGGGTCAGCAGCCTGGTGGTGAGACTCCACCACCAAGGCCCAAGGAAGGGTCTGCACAGGGGTTCCGTGCCCTAAAGGGGGAGTCCTGAGGATTCTGTATTCCAAGGTCCAGAGAAGTCTAGCGGGGTCCCGGAGCAATGGGACCAGGGCTCTAGGTGCCTGAATCCCTGGACTCCTGCCTCTGGTCCCGAGTTCTGGGAGCATCCGGGGTCCAGGGGCCCAGGTCTCGCCAACCCCTGGGCAGCTGTCACCTGGACCACTGGGCATCCCTGGGACTCCTGCATCTGCGGTCCAGAGGTCCGTCAGTTCCCGTGCGTTCCAAGGACCCCGGCATTGGACCCAGGGTTCCCGCACCCCAGGATCGTCCCGGGACCTCTCTGATCTGCGTCCCGGGTCCCCGCGCGTCATGCGTACCGGGCGCCGAGGGGCGCGCGCCTCCAGCCGCCGCAGGCTGAGCACTGGGGTCTCCGTGCGGCCCCCAGGAAACGCAGCCGCAGCAGCTCCGGCCGCGCCTCGGGGAAGGCGAGCAGCGCCGCCAGCGTCTGGCAGAGGCCACGGGCCAGAGAGGCGGGGTCGCGGGCAGAGGTCGCGGTGGCCACCAGCTCCAAGCTCAAGTTGTGCGGTGGCCGTGGCGCCAGTACTGCCCGGGCCAGGGCGATGCAGGTGCGGACGCGGGCAGCAGTTGCGCGGGGCAGGAGGGTGCCCAGGCGCGCCAGGACGCCGCAGGGTTGCGGGTGGCCCCTGGCAGGCATGGGTCCCAGCGCCAGCGCGAGGCCCAGCCACAGCACTCGCACAAAACCCATCCCAAAGTTACCCGGGTACTGTGGGGACAGAACTGCTGGTGCCACGCGCGGGAGGCGGGCCCCCGGCGGGCCCAAGCCACACCTTTTCCCCCGTCCTCCCTGGCTGGCGCATCCCTCTCTGCCTGGCCCACAGTCCTGAGCCTGCCCTCCCCACCTCCCGGCCAGCAATGAAAGCGACCCACTAAGGAGGAGTGGGACTCACTACCCTGGGCTGACCACAAAGGCTCAAACGGCCATACTGCACGGGGGCTGTAAATAACCGCTGTCTTCCCCCTTCTGTGCCAGGGGAGGAAACTGAGGCTGACACCAGGGAGAGATTTTGGTTAAAAACTGTCCCACATTCACCCCTGTTCCACTCCAACTTTACTCTCCAACCTGGGAATGTGGCCCACTGTTCACTCAGGGAAGCAGGAAGGGTCAGGATTTAATCCCCTGGTCACACAGCAGCACCTCCCACCTCGAGAAAGTGGTATCTATCCATACGAACCCTAGTGCACTCTAACGTTGTGTGCACCCTGGGAAAACTGAGGCAGGTGTGTCTGATGAGAATCTAGAGGATAGAACTCATGGCCTCTAGCTGTGGGCAGGGCAACTTAAACCAGAGAACTCCTCTTCATCCTTCAAGACCCATGCCAAATGTCACTGCATTGAAAAATGTTCCCTGCTTGTCACCCAGAAAGATGCAGACCCTCCTCTCATTTAAGCTCACTCTGCCCACCTTAACTTCATCACATGTTGCCATCTTGTTGCTTGAGTAACTGTTCAGAGATACTTGGTTCCATCACTGTCCACTGCTCCAGAACTTTCTATAGCTCCCTGCCACCTACCAATCCCTAAGTCTGTGTTCTCTGGGCCTCCCAAACCTCAAATGACCTAGGGTCCTTGCAGCCAGCAGCACTCCTCACAGTTCTCATCCTTACTCCCCAGGGTGGGGGTGGGTGGAGGACTGAGAAAATGAGGGTATATTCCAGAACCCTCTAGGTGCAGGGCAGCCTCCCCGCAAGGAACATTAGAGCTCTAGTGAATAAATCTACACTTGGTTGACATTTTCACACACAAAAACACTTCCTTTTGGAGCCAGTATTACAGGGGCAGGAAAAAACCCTGAGATAAATAAAAATGCAAGTGCCAGCCAGCAGTAAGGACTGAAATTTGAGATGACTATAATGAGGGCTGAATTCCAAATGACAAGGAGGTTACCTCATCCAGTCACCTGGCCAAGTATCCCAGGACAGGGAGCATCCCCAAGGGTCCTGGATTCTGGCCTCCTCCCTGCCTGAGGCCACCATCATGCCAGGGAGCACCTCACCTGCCTTGATCCTAGGTTAGGCTGCCAGTTAGTGTCTTCAGGGTTCACTGGGCCTCATCCCACCCTGGTTACAGTCTCTTTAACAGAAGCCTCAGAAATAAGGGCCCATTCTGGGTAGGGGGCACTTTCTCACCCTCATCAAGCACCCAGCAGAAATTCAGGAAGTCAGCAGTCAACAAACATTGATATTTTGTGACTGGTTAATGTCACTGAACATATCTTCAAGAGGATCCCCCACCCCCCCAACTGTCTTTCAGAGAGGGAGGGAAGGGGGAGAGAGATCAATGTGAGACACATTGATTGGTTGCCTCCTGCACATGGCAGGGATGGAGCCTGCAATCAAGGTATGTGCCCTTGGATGGAATCAAACCTGGGACCCTCAGTCCATAGGCCAACACCCTAACCATTGAGCCAAACTGGCCAGAGAAGAATGTCCCTCCTTTTCAATCTCAATAATAAATAGTCCACCATGTGGATGGACCTCATAGTGTTTATCCAGCCATCACTGAAGGGCACTTGGGTGCTCCCACCTTTTGGCCATTGTGAATATGCTGCTGTGACCATGGGTGTGCAGATTCTGAGTCCCTGTTTTCAGTTCTTTTGGGTGTCTATCCACCTGGAAATGGGAGTGCTAGGACATAGAGTGACTGTATCATTTGTTGAGGAACCAACAGACTATTTGCCACAGTAGCAACCCCAGACCTGTGGGAACGGTAGCGTCCATAAAGACTTGTGGAAAAGTTTTTTTTGAAATTCATGAGTTATTTCTAGAAGTTTCCATTAGCTTCAGACTCTGGTTGATTGAAGGTAACTGAAACTGTGGAAAGGGAATCCTAACCTAACCATACACCTAACAGGAAACCTCCACATAACCATAACCCTAGGTCTAATCCGAAAACTAACCATCTCCCTAAACCTAACCCTGATCCCTAATCCTAACCCTAAACAAACACAAACCCTAGGTCTAAACCTAAAGTTAACCATTTGACAAACACTAACCATAAACTTAATGCTAATCTTAGGTCTATTTCTAACGCTAAACATATCCCTAACACAAAACCCCAACCTAACTCTAACCCTAGGTTTAATCCTAATTCTAACGATATCCCTAATCCAAAACTGAAATCCAAACCTAAACCTAGGACTAATCCTAATAGTAACCATCTCCGTAACGCTAAACCTAGGTATAATCCTAAACCTAACCATCTTTCTAAGGCTAGCATTCACCATAACGCTAACCCAAGGTCAAATCCTAACCCGAACCACCTGTCTAACCCTAGTCCTCAAAATAACCCTAACCATAGGTGTCACCATAACCATAACGATTTCTCTAAACCTAGCCCTCAATATAACCATAACCGTAGATCTCATCCTAATCCTAACCATGTCTCTAACACTAGCCCTCAACAAAACCCGAATGCTAGGTAGAATCCTAACCATAACGATCTCTATAAACCGAGCCCTCAACATAATCCTAACCCTACATCGACTCCTAACCCTAACCATCTCTGTAACCCTAGCCCTCAACATAAACGAAACCCTAGGTCTCATCCCAACGCGAAACATCTACCTAAACCGAGCCCTCAACATAACCCTAACTCTAGGTCGAATCCTAACCCTAACCGTCTCTCTAACCCTAGCCCTCAACATAACCCTAACCCTAGGTCCAATCCTAACCCTAACCCTAGCCCTCAACATAACCCTAACCCTAGGTCCAATCCTAACCCTAACCGTATATCTAACCCTAACCCTAAACATAACCATAACCCTAGGTCCAATCCTATCCCTAACCGTCTCTCTAATCCTAGCCCTCAACATAACCCTAACCCTAGGTTGATTCCTAACCCTAACCGTCTGTCTAACCCTAGCCCTCAACATAAACTTAACCCTAGGACCAATCGTAACCCTAACCATCTCCCTAACCCTAGCCCTCAACATAACCCTAACCCTAGTTCCAATTCTAACCCTAGCAGTCTCTCTAATCCTAGCCCTCAACATAACCCTAACCCTAGGTCAAATCCTCACCCTAACC